GGCTTAGATATACTTAAAAGAATTGAAAATTAAGTTATCCCTAGGGTATCTACAGGAACTATTTTTCTATTAAGAGAGGGCAAGCACATTAACTAATTCTGAGAACCTCTTCTTTCTCGAGTTTCTGAGTAATGTCATAGAAAAATGTCGTGCACTTTAATGTAGCTCAGCAAAAATTTTTCAGCATTGACTTTGTGCCGAGCACTTCTAGGCGCTATAGTCATGAGTAAGACACACCAAGGGCCTGCTTTCTTGGAGTCTAGAGTCCATTAGGGAAGACAGTTATTAACAAGTAGTTACAATTGAAGTGAGTGTTACACATGTGCCTTTATAAATTAGGTACCTGCAGGCCCTCAGCATTGCTTTATGATCCTGTTGCATCTTGCTGATTTTCTGCAATCCCTAGCCCTTCCTCTTCTCCCAGCAGTTGTCTTTGCTTCCTGTATCAGAAAAATCTGCATGGGTGAATGAACTCTAAGTTTTTTACCCACTGCTCTGCCTTAGAGAAAAGGTGCTGTGCCTCTGTTCAGGGTGACACAGCCCCCCCATGGTCTAGATGCCACCCCTCTTTGCTCCGAGGAAACCTGGCTCCATCGGTCAGATTATTTTTCCTGTGTCTTTACCCCTTCAGGTTTGCCCCCAGCTCTCCTGTCTTCCTAAGCATTTTCTTCCCAGTCTCATCCATTTTCGTAACTTCAGTTAGCACCTGTATAGTGACAGCTCTTGTGTCTGTGTCCCTAACCCTGACATGTCTCCTGAGACCCAGACTCATGTCTTAGCTTCCCGGTAGCTGTCTGCCCTAGACTGCACACAGGTGTTTCACGTTCTGCGTTTCTAAAACAAAACTCACCGTTTTCTCCCCTAACTCCATTTCCTTCCTATGTCTTATTTATTTAAAAGTGGTGGTTATTATATATTCCTTTCTTGCCCCCTCCTTTCCTTATCCAAGCAAACTGCAGATCCCTCCTAGCTACGTCCTCATCATTCATCTTGCCTGTTGCTATGCCCTGAATTTAAATGTTTGTCACCTTTTACTTGGATCTTTGCACTAAAGTCTGTGTTTGTCCTCTAGCTTCTTCTGTCTTGCCACGCATCCTCTTCTCCACCAATTTGCCGCCTTGTATATGTAGTCATGTTGCTATCCTGCCCAAATTTTTTCAGTTTCCCTCGTATTTATAGAATGGAATCTCAACCCTTTTAGCATGGATGGCATTTAAGGCTGTCTGGAGCCCAGCTCCTCCTGCCAGCCTGGCCTTGGTTCCTGTTATTTCCATCTCATAATTTAAGTCGCAGAAACACTTAAGTACTTCAAGATTCTTTTTGGCCTTTATGATGTTTTAAGATTTTAAAATAATATAATTTATACTTATGGAAAATTATTAGACAAAATAATCACTCATATCCCACCAACAAGATATAACAACAAAAACATATAAATAGTTTTTCTAATCTTTTGTCTATAAAGAGAGAAAACGTGAGACAAAGAATTCCAATTTGGGGTTGGGTAGGGAGAGGCATCCATATGTATATGTTTAGAAATAAGACTTAGGAAGAAGTTATTCTAATTCTTCCCAGAACTTCATGGCTATTCACGTGCAGACCTTTTGCCTGGAAAATCTCCCACTTGTCTTCAATTCTAGCTAAAACATCACCATCTCATGAAGCCTCTGAACTTGCAGGGACAGATTTCAGTGTCCTCAGTGTACTGTGTCCTTGTTCATCATGTCATGTTTTCATTATTTGTGTTTTTGTCTTTGAATTGAACTGAAAGTTCCCTGAGATAGTGGCCTTTGTATTTCCAGATATGGTACAAAACCTAACATAGTCGCCTGAGGAAGAACCTCTAGAAAGGTAGGGAGGAAACCAGTAGAGACCAAGGGAATAGAATGTGTTGAGAAAGAATGATGAATAGTATTAAATGTTGCTTCGTGTAAATTTTGGGGGACTAAACTGATGTATTCCTTCAAGTACATATTGTAGGCAGTCAAGAAACTTACGAATGAATGCATGCACAGAGTTAGGTAAGACCTGGAAAGAGTCTTCTGCAAGGACAGCGTCACATGCACGGTAGGGAGTGGACACCAATTATACAGTCATGCACCGTGTAATGACGGTTTTGGTCAACAATGGCCTGTATATACGACAGTGGTCCCATAAGATTATATTGGAGCTGAAAAATTCCTGTTGCCTGGTGACTTGGTAACATCATACCATCAGCACTGCTAGTATGTTGTGATGTTGGGGGTAAACCTACTGTACTGCAGGTCCTGTGAAAGTCTAGCACATACAATTACGTGCAGTACATAATAATAATAAATGACTGTTACTGGCTTATGTATTTACTGTATTTTAATTATTTTAGAGTGTACTCCTGCTTATTTAAAAAAAATTTAACTGTAAAACGGTCTTAGGCAGGTCCTTCTGGAGACATTCCAGAAGAAGGTGTTATTATCGTAGGAGATGACAGCTCCATGCACGTTATTGCCCCTGGAGACTTTCCAGTGGGACAAGATGTGCAGTGGAAGACAGTGATATGGATGATCCTGACCCTGTGCAGGCCTAGGCTGATGTGTGTGTTTGTGCCTTAGTTTTTAACAAAAAAATTTAAAAAGAAAGAAAATAATAAAAATTTTCAAAATAGAATAAAGCTCATAGAATAAAAGAAAGAAAATGTTTTTGTACAGCCATCCAATGTGTTTGTGTTTTAAGCTAAGTGTTATTATAAAAGAGTCAACAAATTTAAAAAAGTTTATAGTTAAAAAGTTGTAGTAAGCTAAGGTTAATTATCGAAGAAAGAATTTTTTTAATGAATTTAGTGTAGCTTGAGTGTACAGTACAGTGGTTATCAAGCACACAGCGGTGCACAGAACGACCTGGCCTCCGCACTCACTCACCACTCACCCAGAGCAGCTTCCGCTCCTGCAAGTCCATTCATAGTAAGAGTCCTGTACAGGTGTTCCATTTTTAAATCTTTTATACTAGGTACTTTTTACTGTGCCTTCTTATGTTTAGATACACAAATACTCACCATTGTGTTCCAGCTGCCTACAGTATTCAGTACAGTAACGTGCTGTGCGGGTTTGCAGCCCAGGAGCAGGAGGCCAATCATAGAGTGTAGGTATGCAGTAGGTTTGTGTACACAAATGTAGATTTGTGCAAGTTACACTTTAGGATGTTCACACAAGAGCAAAATCCCTTAAAGACTCATTTCTCAAAAGATATCTCTGTTGTTAACACTGCCTGACTCTGCTAGATTGAGGAGCGAGGAGGTGGTTAGGAAGCTGAGACCAGTGTAGACAACTACTTCGAGATCTTGATGAGGTGGAGACAAGGATTAGGATTAAGATAGTATCTGAAAGGCACCCTTCCCTGTTGTGTCTCATATTGAGCCGTCTTATGTGGAACCCAGGGGTGGGAAACGCGGTAGGGTACCTTTTCTCAGCTGCAGTGAAGAAGCACCTGGAGTCTGGGCCCCGCCACAGAGACTGGTTTCTAGGCCTGGGCTGGGCGTCCAGGTCAGCCAGCCTGTGGGGTGGCTTGGAGAAGTGCTGCCCTGGGGGTTTCCAGTACCTTCCCGGGATGTCGGGACTGATGGGGGAGGCCATGGAGTCTTCCGGGTCACTTCTTCCCCCTCCAGCTCTCTGTGGCCTGCTTCCCTCGCAGCCGCTTCTCACGGGGGTCTCTTCTAAGCCTCCTTGTCCTCTTAGCTCTTCGGTTTTCTTAGTTGTTGTCATCTTCTGTTGCCTTCCCTTTACCTGAGAGACAGCCAGGCCTTACGGACATCACCAGCCAGTGACAGGGCCTCTCTGTCTCTTGCCAGTGCCCTGCTGGTCACAGGGAAGTTGACATCTGTCTGCAAGTTGTTTCCAGCTGTTGTCGTCTTCCTCTCAGCTGTTCCTCTACACTGAAGCCTTGTTTTGCCTGCGTCTGCGTTTGGAGTTCTTCCAGAGGGTTTGGGAAGGTTGATCTTTGGCTTGTCCGGGTTTATGGAAGGAGAAGGACAGCAGCATTTAAAGTGATATTTTAAAGCTACATAGCCTCGGAATATTGGGAAACATTTTCTGTTACCTAATAACCATCTTAGTGGTGATTCTCTGAATTGTATGATATTTTGGAAGATTCCAAAGGCATTCTAGTGGTCATTACGACATCCTGTGCGGTAGCCCAAAGAAACACGTACGAGTCCATATATGGAGCACATGCTCCGTTCGCTGGTGTGGAAGCTGCCAGATGCTTCATTCATCACGGCGATGCACTTCCCCAGAAGTCCTAACGTTCCAGGTCTTTTTAGTCAGAACTTTGGAATTGATAACATTATTGACTTGCTTAGAATATGGTCTGTATGGATTTATTACACATTAAACCTTTTAGGCAAGCCATAAAAGGAGAATCGTTAGACATTTCGTACTTGCATGACACTCAGCTTTTGTTGCAGTCACAGTGATGTGTAAGCAAAACCGTTAAGCTCAGGCACAACAGAACTTGCTGGTCTGAGCACGATTGTAAAGTGGATGACTATACACGTTCTGCTTGTCTCTTTTCTCTGGGAAGCCATCGCTGAACAGAGGACTTCAAATATCGCAGGGGTGCTCCAAGCACAACTTAGAGCACCCTGCCTGAGGTAGGGGAGTAGCAGCCGGAATGTACGCCCTTGAAGGTGGAGGTCTTTAAAAGAAATACTCAGTGTTAACATGCAATTCAATGAACTTTTTTCTTTTTAAAGGAAATTTACCAAGAAAAAAATTACATGGAGTTAAACTGTGCTGTAGTTGTTTTCATTAAGAAAACAACTTAATGTTTGTTTAAGACCTCACTTATGAGGTGAGGTAACCAGCTAGGGAGGAGAGGGGGGCAAGGGGGCGTGGAGAGAAATAGTTAGAGAGGCATCATGTTTATAAAATCAACAGAAGGTAAGGTGGGGGAAACATTTTCTATTGGATGCATTTTCTTATTTTATCTCTTTATTTTCTTAATGTAATGATGCATATTTTATATTTCAGATGAATTTACAACTAATTTTCTGGATTGGACTGATCAGTTCAATTTGCTATGTGTTCGGCCAAACAGGTAAAAAAAAAAAAAAAACAGTTTTCCTAGTTGTGTTTTCATTTCAGTACTTTGTATCGCTCTTTGACCAGTTAGATTCCTGAGAAAACCTAAGTTTTCCCTTAGGTTTGCTAAGTTTGCTCCTTCTGAAAGCTCTGCTGAAGATTCTTGTGGGTGTGGCAATGTATGTCAAATATAAAGAAATAATTCTTTACCCAGTTATAGGAAAACTCATGACATCAATGACTATTCAAAATGATAGAATTTGAAATTACAGCTTTAAAGAAAAGGATCTAGTCTTTGATATAGAAAACAAGAAAGATAACTATTAATGTGTCCCTCTGTGAATTTCAGTGCCAAGGTGATCCAGTGCCGTGGCATCCTTGGGCCAGGTTTAGTTCAGTTGGTAACTAAGTCATAGTGTTTATGTTTAATATTTGTATATATATATATATTGCATTATTTGTCATTACGATCCTGATTTTTTATTATTTCTCTCTGAAATGTCAAGTAAAGTGTTCTTTCTTTTTCCTGACAGATGAAAATAGATGTTTAAAAGCAAATGCCAAATCATGTGGAGAATGTATACAAGCAGGGCCAAATTGTGGGTGGTGCACGAATTCAGTAAGTAAGATTGCTCTCTAGTCATTTAGTGTTGCTCAGGGCTGTACCCTTGGGAAGTAATAGATGTGAATTTTCACATAAATCATTGTTTATTGAGTAATACAGGATGGCCTAGAACTGTGGTTTAACACAGTAGCCACTAGGCACATGTGGCTATTGAGCACTTGAAGTATGGGTGCTACAAATTGAGAATTACTCTAAGTCTCAAATATGTACCAGATTTCTAAGACTTAGTATTTAAAAAATTATTAATAATGTTGCAATGATAATACTTTGTATAAAAATGTGCTTAAGTGTTAAAATTAATTTCCTCTGTTTCTTTTTTTTGGTGTGGCTACTAGGCAGTTTTAAAATACATATGTATGTGTAGCTCATCTTTGTGGCACGTATTATATTTTTATTAGATAACTTTCCAAAAAACCTAGCCATTTATCTGACCATTTTAGATTTTTTTCCCCTTTTTTGATGGGGGTGGTATACATTTACCCTCCTAATTGTATTTGAGTTAATCTAATATAGAATTGATTTGTATCCTAAGCCAATTGAGGTTAGGATTTGGATTTTATTCACTTTTGTCATCTCTATACATTGCCGAACATAGTGCCTTCCACAGAGCTTACTTCAATGAGTAAGTGAATGAATGAATGTTCAATGAGTAAGTCAAAACAGGAGGTAGGGGCCGGTCGCGGTGGCTCACGCCTGTAATCGTAACACTCTGGGAGGCTGAGTC